TCCTTGCCACCCAGTCATTCCTACAAGACATTTTAAGTGTTATGCATATAACACTTTAATATATTTCTGTGATCTTTCATAGCATTGTATCTGAGCTTCTTTTTGAACTCTTGCTACTTCTTACTACTTCTTAATTTACATTTCATTGTTCATAGGTTTGTATACACAAGTCCTAATCCTCAAATGAGACTCTAATTTCTTTGATGATGACAATTATAACTAGGACTGTTTTTTTTTTTACATCTCAGTGCTGGAATACTTCCTTATATATAGTGGATGTTAAGAATACTCAATAAATGTTAAAATGTATGGATCTATGTTTGAAACAAAGGTGTCTGACATAGCACTTTGGGACCAACAGATTGCATAGCGGTTATGTTGCTGGGTTCACACATGGCAGATCATGGTATGTACTCGGAACCCCAGTAGATTGAAAATAACGTCAGGTGCATGTGTGTGCATGTCCAAGATCCCAAAAAGAGAATGGAGGAGAAGGGACTGTAATATGGGCATCTAACCTGGGGTGGGGGGAGGTGACTTCTCACTTCCCTCTCATCGTCTCTGTCTCTCTCCAGCAAACACATGTACCCCGAGGCAAAAACCTCTAAAAGAAAGGAAGAAAAAGAAGAAAGAAAGAGCTCTTTTAACATGACACTAGATGATTTAAGAGTATGAATTTGATGCTTTTTGAAGTAAGAAAAATTGTGTTTATGAAATTATTAGTGATACTATTAAGGCCCATTTCCTTATTTCTAAAGCTAGTGTTGCTGATCAATAAGACTAAACCATCTGATGAAACCACTCTATAAATTACACATGCCTTCATCACAAACCATAATTTCAGGAGTCTCTGAATGCCCACTTTCTCCATCCTCTTTCACTTAAGAGTTTAAAAAAAAAATTGTTACCAAAAAGATTTTGACATCCCTAGTGTTGAGAGGGAGAAATCTTTTATTTCCTTAAACTCAGTCAAGTACATAAATGCAACTATTTCTCACTAGACTAAGAACTTTTTTCTTTTTTAATTTTCATCAATACTTCAAAAATATATTTCAGTTTCCCTGATCTTCTTCTTTATTAAAAAAATGCCTCAATACATCTTTCATTGTCAGAAGGCAGGGTAGAAACATGTCTTTTGACATGTTAAAAAGTATTACATTTAATATTTTTATTTAAAAATATGTATTTGGAGACTTTGAAAAAATGATTGGGTCCTAGTCTTACCTTCAATTGGTTGTGAGCTATTTTGGTTGTAGGCTTTATGAGATTTTTAATACTGTACTGAGAAAAGATTTAACTTCTGAGGTAGAAAATACAAGTAAAAGTAGTTTTGCTTTTCCTTGATAGCATTTAATTGCTTTTAATCCTAAAGGATAAAAAAAGAAAGAGAATTTGAATTTGTATCATACATCTTCCAAGAACTGTTCTGAGATAAATTCTATTCTTGTAATTGAAAGCCAAATGTCAATATAATTACACATCTAGAGCTAAACACAATGTCATCTTTAAACCCAGGACTCTGCTTTTTCTAGAAAAAAAATCTGCTCTAGAGTTCCAATTTGAAGAATAGCTTGTCAAGAACTGTCTACATTAATAGACAGATACTTACCCCCAAATATTGGATTCAAGTATGTTCCATTACCATGCTAACACGTGCTTCTCGATGGCTCTGAAATGAGTTGATTTGAGTTTTTGTTTATTTCCAATGTATTTCAAGATAAACCACGAAGCAGACACAAACTCAGACTTGTGACAGGTTCAATAAGAACAAAATAGTGACTGATTATATATTAAGCCTTCTGCATTGCTGAAATGGGGGAACCCATTACGCCCTCCTTCTTCTGTACAGATTTCTGATGTAAATGTAGTAAGCTATGTTTCTAAGTCAAAGCACTTGTTAGTATTTCGTTATTGCACTTTGTCCATTATGTTCATTACTTCCGAAATTTTAATTTATCATGACTTGATAATTTGTCAGCTGTTTGTGTAATCACGCCTGTAAATTGATTTCAGTTGGTATCACTGAAGGTTAAACTGGAGCTGGATATAAAATAAGGCCAAGGCTGGCCTATGGCCTGATAATTAAAAAAGCCATATCCACCTGGTTGACTGCACAGTTCAAATCCTAGCACCAGTGGGTTGAAAACATGTAGGGCATGTATGCATTTGTGCCCCAAATTCTGGAAGGATGGAGAAATAGAGGAGAGGGGATTGTGGTATTACTACATCCCATTGCAGTGTACGTTTGCCCTCTCCCTGTTTCTCTCTGTTTATTTCTGGTGAGTACATGTGGATATTAAAAACATGCAAAATAAAGACCACAAAAAAATCTCATTAACTTCTAGCTGAATCTTCCATATGTTGGATATTTAAAGTTTATATATATCCCATATTAGAATTGTATCAATATTCATGGTCTTATTTTGAATATGCTTTTATTCTCCAAATATTTTGAAGAGGTTTTGTGAAGGGGCGTTTATACACCCATGGGGTAAAGAGAACCTAATTCCTCTCACTATACTGTCCTTCTTGTAACATGTTATAGGAAAGTCACAACTTAATTCTGTATGGAGCCTTATTTTAGTGATAACTTCTTCAAATCTGTGATTTTACAGATTTGTCATAGGAAAAAAGTTCTGACAATAGGTCTTCAGTGATTTCTATACAGCTGATTAACTTCTCAGTGTTTGCACAAAATATTTAGAATTAATAAATGCTGTTAAGAAATATTTTGAATAAAAATATTGCCATGCTATTAATATTTTCTCTAACAGCCACCATTTTCAGAGGGTCTGTCTATAAAAAATATTTTATTAGAGAAAATTCAATTTCAAAGCTATCTTTTACTGAGATCTCTAAATATCAACTAAGGCTTACAAAATGTGCTGAGACGTATTGATGACATGTGATTCTATAGTTGATTTGTGGTCACTAAAAGTTCAGAGTCAACACACAAACTCTACATTTGGTAAACTCTATGAGAACTTTGTTCTTACACTGAAAATAACAGTGTACGATTTAATAGTAAAGGATTGAGCATTAAATGATTTCAGTCAATTGCCAGAGCTGTTATATATCATTACTGTTTCCTTGAGTCAGTATGGCAGAATGAAAAATAGGAGCCCAATGTGTACTTGTAATAATAATATAATTGTCTAGTTTCAAAGTTTATATAAAAAATAATACTTGGAATACTTTCATTAAAAGAAGTTTTAAATAAATTAACATGGTAACAGTATTTCTACACTACAGAAGTTCCGTTTTGTCTTCATATTTAGATTTAATATAAGAGGTTTAAAAGCAGTTTGTTATTATCATAACTGCTAATTAAAATTAGATAGACCTGCAGTGATTTGCTTTACAAAATTGGGGAAGTAGTTTAGTACTCAGAACCACGCAGAGGACCTTGACTTTTAGGTAAATGGTTAAATGTATATACACATTTCATCTTTCAACTCTTCATCTGTAAATAACCAGGTGAATATTAAAACACAAAAGAATGCATGAATAGTTTATCCAAAATCTAAATCAAAAAGCCTAATGGATTTTCACAATCTGACCTTCCTGATCCTCTTTGCATAATTAAGTCAAAACACAAGGGTCTACCATCTTTCTCCAAGGTTTACCCATCCTTCAGGGTGAATGTACTCCAGAATTAGCATAGTCAGAGTATCTGTATCCAGAGGTTATTCCCAAAGTCCCTCAGTGTCTCTTTTCATTTAGCTTTACATGGGAATGCACACCATTATGATATAAAAAATGATAAAGCAGCATCTGGCAAGCTAAAATGTTGTAAAAAGCTTAAATTACATTTTATTCCTCAGGCTTAAAACACAAATTGAGAATTATTCAAATTAAGCTCACTTCCCATACCTCAAAATTGTAATATAATAGCACAGGGTAGTTGCAAACAGGCAAAATCCAAAATTTTGCACATGGGGAGAACCGACAGAGGATGTCATATAGCTTTTGGGGACACTAGATTATGATATATTCAAAGAGCAAAGAAATAACTCCTCCCTAATTATTTCTTACGGATTTAAAAATCCCAACTTACCAAAAATATATAGAGATGGTCCATGTTGGAGAATAGGACCTTTATGCTATAAATTCTGCCTTTAAGACCAACAGCAATAACAACAAAATATTGCCTAAAATGATTTGGGAAAATAAAAATACTTCAAGAAATGCTCAAAAAATTAGCTTGTTTTGAAAAATATTGAAACAATGAGACTCGTGTATTACATATTTAAACAGTAGCTTCATTGCTGAAGGTTTCATAGAATTCTTTCAATATAATATTTAATGCAAAATGTATGTAATTATATTTTTAAGCTGATGGTGTTGGGAAATTAGATAAGGTTTGCAAGCTTTTATGTAACAGAATATTTTGCAGTTGGCAAAGCCTTTTTACAGATGCTTATTTGATCCTCACAACAACCCTGTGAGGTAGGCAGGGAAGTCATTGCTATCTTTATTTTATACTTTCGAGCCCTGAAACTTAGAGACTTTGGGGGATATGTCCAAGAATAATGAGTGTGCAACATTTCCCCCCTTTTATTCACACCTAGTCCTACACATTTCCTTGTAGATACCAAACACGAAGGACTAACCAGTCAATGAGATGGAGAAAGTCCAAATCTCTGTAATAATTAAAGCCAACGATGAGTCTAAGAAGGTTATGTCAATTGGAGGATAGAATTCCCAGACTACATCGCTATTGTATGAGGTTTATATTGATTGATGACTGTTTTTGATGAAAACAAATGAATTTATAGACTGAAGTATGAATCAGTCAGAAAAGTGCCTGACAATTAATTTTTGGTACAAAGATGATCAAGATTCCTGATTTAAATGTACTAAAACAAATGGAAAAAGGGATAACGTTCCCTGATATTTTGTACAGGATAAGATTTTTTTTTAATTATACCTTTGTCTGATTTATCAGATGATTGGAGTATACCTTAAACCATTTATTTCATTCATTCAAAAGAGGGGAATTCCTCTTAACATAAAAGGGGGAGGGCAGATGGGACAGAGACAGCAGTCCCGTGCTCAGAGCAGTGCACCATGAGTGCACACAGTTGCATACAGTATAGTGCAGGCAGCAAATCCCCATGCTCCATCAATTAGTATGGAGAAAGTAAGTGGGGAGGGCAAAGGGAAATGGTACATACATGGCCATGACTAAGTGACCCTGTATGTTAGAAACACCTCATGTCATTTAAACACATGACAAGGCTAATACGATCTGTCACAATAACAAAGTGTGGGTCTCCAGGGTCCACCCAGAAAAGTGGCAAAAGAGGTCATGATTACCTTCCCGAGTTTCCTCTGCAGTGTACTACCCCTATAAATCATAGTCATCCATGATTTTGAGCCTTTTTGCTTCATTTTGCCTTTGAAAAAGAAATCAGCAAGTATTGAAACAAATATCATTGTTTGGCTTATTCAGGTATTCTTAATTAAACAGTACCACAGACTTTATTGAGCAATTGAAAATATACATAAGGAACAATAGTGTTTTCTCTGTATTTTTTTTTTTCTGTCTTCCAATTAAATAACCCAGTTTCGATCATGAAAAGGGCACTTGTTTCTACAGGAGCTGTGTACAGCTTGCTCAGTTTACAGTACTGTTTCCATCTTCTTCCTTGTCATTACTGAGGTTACATCTCCACTTGCTCAGGAAGCAAATTCTACACGGTTGCAAGAATCGACCCCCTAAGTTGTTCTTTCAGATTCTATTTCTCCATAGAGTTCAGCTAACTTTTTAAACTCAGGTCCCCAGTCTCCAAGGTAATGATAATCCTGGTCTGATTGTGTGGTTGCTGAATCCAAAGAGCTGATAGAACCAGCTTCCGATCTCTGGCCCTCATAGGCATAAGTCTGAAGAGAGTCATAAGGAGGAACGCTGGGGTCTAGATCTGCTTCTGCCAGTCTTTGCTTAATAAATTCCTGGACATCTATACTTTCCAGGGTGGACAATGTCTGGTGTCGGGGAGTGAGCTTCACTTCAGGTCTGATGTCTCTCCGGTACTTGAGCTCCTCAGCGGCAGAAGGGTTCCTCAAAGCCGTGATGTCAAAGGCCTCAGTGTCCTCCTCCCCACCTCCCTCGTCGTCATAGGTGACCACATTCTCCCGCACATCCTCCTCTGAAATGATGAGGGGTTCTTTTTTGCTGCGCCTCAGGGTGATAAAAAGTACTACGATTGCTGAGGAAAAATGGAAAGAGGATGAAGAGTTAGCGAAAACCAAAGGAAATTCTAAGAGTTCTGACATGAGTAATGTGCAATCCGTCATTACCCATGTTAGAGAGGTAGGTTTGCTTTGCAGAACATCCTTGTTGTCTGCATTCTATGAAGAATGTAAACAAATTACTACCCCATAGGAAATACTGTGAATAGCTGATCTTCTGGAGAAAACCATATTATCTTTTGCAGATGTGCAAATTCAGGTTTCTCGATTCATACATGTTGCAATGTAACTATTCAGTGTTTAAAATGAGGGAAACAGATCATGGAAAAGTAATGTGAAATTCTGATTGGGACACTAATGTATTACATTGGTCTATCTGTAGATATCCTTACATGGAGATAGACCAAAGGCAGCACATTTTAATTTTATTAATTTAATTTTCTGGAAAATTGGAAAAAGGAGCTTTCACCTTAAGTTCCTTATTTTTTGTACCATATTGAAGCAGGGATATTTTATGTGATTGATTCTTTTGCCTCTAATATTTTAGAATTATATTACCATATATTAATAATTGCAAAAAAAAGTTACTTTATTTGTACACGGATTGTATGTCCTAAGAATTTTTCAGTTTATGGATGTTCTATACATAATTTTTTTTTTTACTGAATACTCTCAGCAGATCTGGGACTTTATTTTTAAAAATGAGAAAAATTGAGGCTACCCAAAAAATTTAGACCAAAGATAAGAATACACAGATGGTGAAAAAATGCAGACCATCATCTAAGACTTTTTGCACCAAAAATAATAATACTTCTATCTCAACATTCCACTTCATTGTTTTAAAGTGCTGTGGAATGGGACCAGTGATTAGGGTAATGGCTATGTCTTTGAACTCCCACATGGTCAACCGTGGTTCGAGTCCTGGACCCGGTGGCTTAAACTCACGCCGGGCATGTGTGCATGCCCAAGATCCTGAGAGGAGACAGGAGGAGAAGAGATTGCAGTGTGGCCATCACCCCTGGGTGGTGATTTCTCACTTTCTGTCTCTCTGTCTCTCTCTGCCTTTCTGGCAAGCACACGCACCCTATAGCAAAAACCTCTCAAAAAAAAAAATGCTGTAGATTAAGAAACGGAGTGACCATTTGCAGATGGAGCTTAGTGTAGCTATTGCCACTTAAGGTTGATTAGTTATTATTACCAACAATATTGCAAACATTGGACGTCTGTGTCCTTGATTGATGATTACACATTATATGCATGCTTTGAAAAACCATACTGTGCCCCAGAAAGAGTTGTACCTCTAATTAAATTAATTAATCAGGAAGGACAATTTATACAAAGAAGATAATGTGATAGCAATGGGACTTAGAAACTTTGCTTTGGCCATTTTTCAGTGTTTTCAAATCTTTTTACTTGATGATATTAAACCACTACCTTAGAAAAAAATTCCATTAATTTTATTATTGCTTATATCTTAGGCATATAATTTATTTCTCCTCCATGGATTGCCTTTCTGGCTCAGCTAATAGTTTAGACTTTGTGATAGCAGTTATGAGCTTCATTAATATTTTAGGTATTGTTACATTATAAAAATCAGGAAAGTACATTCAACTGCCATCTAGGGTTGTTAGATTTAACATAAAATAAAAAATGAGAGCAACCAATTAAATGTGAATTTGAGATAAATAACAAGATCACACACATATAAAGTATTAAAACTGTTATATGCAATATTTGTGATATAAATACTAATATAAATACAAGCATGCATATGAAAATGCATGTACACATACACACAAGGAGTTCCAAAGGTTTGTGAAAAACATAATTAAAATATGAGTTTATTTTGGTAAAAATTTTTGTAATCTATACATAGTTTTTAATGAACTTTTGAAGACCCATCATCTATGTCCCAAGTATATCATATGTATTATTTCATGTGACATATTTACAATATATTCACATACACAATTACATGTGTATTTTTTGTGTGTATTTGGAATTCACAAATAACCAAATATCCTGCATTTTTTCTGGCAACTCTAATTATATGTAAACTTTAACAGATGATGATGAAGCAGAGAAGCACCAGATTAGCTATCCCTGATTAAAAACTAACAGACCTGGCATGCAAATCTGCTCTTTACCACTTCCCTTTTCCAAAACAAACTCTGTCTTTACTTCTTTTTTTTTTTGACAGTATCTCAGTAAGTCATGCTCTTCCTGACTTAGTCTCTCAACTAGCTAAAACAACCAGCACATAACATTACACTTGATCTTTAGGTGGGCTGGAAATTAGTCCACATCTCCTACATAGCCCCAGTCTACCGAGTAGCAGCATCTAAGCTAGGACCTATCCTTACTTTTATTATTATTATTATTATTATTATTGCTTTTCTTTATAGTTTAAAAGCCTTTTATGCATACCCCTAAACAATATAGATGACTTCAGTTTATTTTAAAATTAGTTACCATACTAAGTTTTTTTAAGGTTTGAAAATAAAGAGAGGAAGAGAAACAGATTTTTAAAGCCATACGTAGAAAAGATAATGATGGTCATAGTACATGGGGAGGAATCTAACTGTGCAGAGGAAAGGCAGGTAAAGGAATGAAGAAAAAATAAGACACAGGAAACATTTATAAGGAGACAGGGTCACAGAGTCATCCAGAGAAGTGTGGAATAAAAGATATCGGCCAGATAATGAAAAAAATACAACAGAGAGGATACTAGCAGACACAGGAAACATTGAATCACTGAATTTTGAAGGAAGTAGTTGCATAAAGTGGAAGATGAAAATGAAATGCTATTACAAGTACTTGGTTCAGAATAGGAGTCCACCGTAAAAGTCACTTGTACTCAAAGACATTACCTTATGTAAGATTTTATTTTGAAAATTAAAAGAAGTTTCACTGAAAGCAGTTAAAATGCTTTTATAGCCCTCCTTTTTTTTTTTCTTTTTTTTTTTTTTTCTTTTTGTGTGTGTGTGTAAATTCACATTAGAACTGAATTCAGAGCCTAAACGTCATTGTCAAGTAATTCACTCCATTCTGGTCAGAGTTGAAATCTATCATGCACTATGTATCTCTCCCATCTGCATGAGTAAATGAGGAGGCTGTTCTGTATTGAAAGAGCTATTTCTAGACTTCTTAATTTATTTTAGCAATTTTAAAATTGTCATCAATAAATAAAGTTATTTCTCTTTATTTTGGTAGTTGACGCTAAAGGATTTTCAGTGCATGCATAACAGAGAAAATGCAATCAGAGCTTTTAGGGAAGCATGGAAGTCTTTTGTATCCTTCACCAGTATTTGAACCATGCTTCAATCCTTGTGAATATACCATCGTTGCCTAATGAAATGCAAAGGATGATGCTGGATTTATGATTACTAAAGCTTATGTTTATTTCCCAAAAGTTAATAAACTATACCTGATAAATTTTGATTCAAAATAGAGGTACTAGTTAAGTTTAAACTTTGAAGGTATATATAATAATCTTTTCCAGAAACAGTTATTTGCTAATAACCAGTTATTGTTCTATTTGTTACATTTCTATTTAGCATAAGGATCAACATAGAAATAATTATAGAATGTGAGACACTTTTAAGGTCCAAAGGCAACCTTCTTTATACTTATAGCAGGACATCAGGGCAAATATGGACATAGGGTCTCTCTAGTTAAAGGCAAATTCCAATCAGCTTAGAGGAGAATGTTGAAACATGAATGATATGGTACACTCCTGATGGAGTGCTTCTCGGTCCTGTTTGTTCAACAGATATTTCTGGAGCAGATGATACAAAGTAGACACTCCATCTTATGTAGATGAACGAAAGAATAATCTCTGTGAAAGTGCTGATGTACAATAGCATTGTGTTAAGTGACTTCTCACTCTTATGAGAAGAATAAGGATTTCTTTTTAGAATTATTTTATTTAACTTTATTTATTTATTTATTTTTAATTTGGTCAGAGAGGTACAGAGTGAGTGAGAGTGAGAGAGAGAGAGAGAAAGCAAGAAAACAAGCCACCAGATTCAGGATTCCAATCGCAGTTGGCCATGTGGGAGTCCAGCACCCTTAACCACCACACCACCTGCTGGCCCAAGGGGGAAAATAAAATGTGAAAATTATAATTTTGAGAATATTTTTGAACAATTAAAAAATCAACTGTTTCCAAAATATCCTGTCTTGAGTGTATTTTAAGAGAATGAGTGAAGATAGTAATGATATTTATATTGACTTTGAGAGTCAAATCACTATTGACACCCGGCAGTAAAATGACCCCTGTAACCTATGAAATCATGCGTGTGAGTACAAGTTACCTCGTCTTACATGGGTCACCTGGAGAAGCACAATGTAAGAGTGCCATGTCATAAAATAGTAGAGAACTGTAAACCTTATCCTTCTTCATCAAAATTATGAACAGTTCTGGTATATTTCAAAGCAGGTTTTGGTTGTATTAATCTAGATTAAAACTTGAACAAGCTGTAGTATTTTTCAGAGGTTATTCTAAAACAAGTATTTTATACTTGGGTTAGTAGATTTATTTTTCTTCTCTTCAAGGTTAGACAGAATTTTCAACATCCTTAATATAATACCATTTGTAAAAAAAATTAAATTTGCTTTCATTAATTCTATTCATAGAAATTAAAATTTGGAAAACTTCTTGCATTTTTTTCTCACATACATTTATTCATATATCATATTAATATATATGTGTATTAAACATTGTTTAAAAATTAAAGATGACTACATTCTGAGTTAATTAGCCAGGAACTTTCTGAATAACAATGAAAACCCTTACATTGCTAGGAAGAATATATATTAGACCAAAATTAGCAATTGTTTGAACTCTAGCTCAAGAAATTTTTCTGTAACATTTAGATGAAACCACAAGAACACTTTTGAGTTTCAATAAAAAAAATTTAAAGAGTAAACATATTCAATAGCAATTTTGCTTCATTATTTCTAAAGGGTAGCATAAAACTCATAAATGTTCTGATACACAAAGGTGGAAAACACTTTTTAAATAATCATTTTATTTAACTTTATTTATTTTAATTGGACAAGAGAGGAACAGAGTGAGAGAGGGAGAGAGAGAAAGGAAAATTGAGAAAGCAATCTTCCAGGTCTAGGACTTGAACCTTAGTTGACCAAGAGGGAGTCTAGCGCCCTTAACCACCATGCCACCTGTTGGCCCCCATAAAAAATTATAAAAATGAATTAAAAGGAAATATAATTTTCTTGAAAAACATATTCTTTTACATAATACACTTTAAAAAAATTTTTTAGAGAGGTTTTTGCTATAGGGCTCATGCACTCACCAGAAAGACAGAGAGAGAGAGACAGAAAGTGAGAAATCAACCCCACCGGAGATGAGCACACCACAATCCCTTCTCCTCCATTATCGTCTCGGGATCCTGGGCACGCATGCACACATGCCCAGCGTGAGTTTAAGCCACCGGGTCTGGGACTCAAACAGTGGTCGACTACATGGGAGTCCAGTGACATAACCATTATGCTAACTACTGGTCCCCAAATGTTTTCATATATTAAAAATTTTAAGTTGCTCTTTATATTTTTATCTTAGTATATAAAAGTAGTCTTATGATGATAAATGAAAACAAAAGCCAAAGATAATATGCCTTTCCCAACTGAGTTTTTTATTAGTAAGGACTCTCAAAGGACTGACATTAATGTCACTGAACTGTAGCCTCTGGGACTGTATTTAAGAACCCTAGAGAGCTCCAGGTTTTTGTTGGTGGCACTTTATAAAGCTTTTCTTTAATTTTTCTTTTTTCTCTTTTTGGTGTGTGTGTGTGTGTGTGTGTGTGTGTGTGTGTGTTTAATGTTCAGAGACAAAACAAAATAAAATTTTGAAAAGAAGAAACTTATTAACATCTAAAGAAAATAATAGTTGTGACCAGTAAATGTATAAATAAACACAAGCCCCCATGTTTCACATTGCTAAGTGCAATCGATCATTTTAGGTCCTCATTGTATGTAGCCCCTGAACGACTTTTGGCATTGCTCACTAGATCTACTAGTCAGCATGGTGCTTTGCCATTTTGGTGCCCTATTTCCCTTGACTTTTGAGACAATAAGCTATTCATTCTCTTTCTTCTTTGGTCCCCCCTTCATTGTCCTCTGCCATGTCATTGTTCTTTGTTTTTGTATAGGTTTTTGCCTTTGAGCATGTGTGCTCCCTGGAGAGAGAGAGACACCAGAGAGAGAGAGACAGAAAGAGACAGACACAGTGAAAGGGAAAATGAAAAATCACCCCCCAGAGGGGATGGTTATGCCATAATCCCTTCTTCTCCATCCTCCTTCCAGGATATTGGGCATGCATACACATGATTTTCAAGCCACTGGTCCGGGACTCAGACTGTGGTTGTCCATGTGGGAGTCCAGCAATATAAGCATTACACCATCTGCTGGTCTTTCTCATCCGTTCTTGACTTAGCAATCACCTCGGAATTTCTCAAAGCCCAGTCCTACTCCATTCTCTCTGTCTCTCTCTTTCTCCCCACTTCCATGAACATTCAGCAACAGACCAAGGTTCTTCTTTGATATCACGCTAATGCACCCAGACATCTAAGTTATCAAAGTTCACTTTTGATTTTACCTTAAGTCTCTTGATATTATTCATTTTCTTTAGAGTAACCCTAAGTTTGTTGGTCCAGAACAGACCATCAGAGGGAGAAAATGACACTGCTTTCCTAACTGGTTTGCCTACATGCTCTATCACCGCCAGCAGATAGGTTCTCCACTTCATTCATAGTCACCTTTTCCAAATTACAAATTTTAGGAGACTCTTTTCGACTCTTTTCTTTATATTCCTAGAACAACACTCATCATCTTTTCAAAGCTCAATGAGGACCCCAGCTATCTCAACCCTGACTATATATCCCTTCTCTTTTGCCCTTATTCCACCGTACACTCAACTCTGAAAGTCATTTGTCTACTATCTAAGCAAGAAACACAGGGAAATTTTGCTGCACCATTGTTGCACCATTCTTTTTTTCATGTATGTGTAGTCCCAAGAGTGTAATAAAAAAGAAGGAATGAAAAAGGGCTGGAACACACTGGAAAAATAAATGCACTCTCTTTGGATTGTGAAGCAGAAAGATTATTTACTTCTGTATTTATTTCTTTTTATTAAAATACAGGGTTTCTGTTTTGTTTTAAATAGTAATCTCAATAGTTTACAATAATATTAGTTTTAAAGTGATAATAAGATTTAGGTTATTATATCAGGTAATGTAAAATTAGACAAAACTTTTATTCTGTAACTGGTTACAGAGAGACAGTCAGCAAGTATGATCAAATTGTCTCACAAAACTCAATGTGCTCTGTTTATAGGCACAAGGTAGAAATCATGCAACTCATTCCTCACTACAGTTCCTCAGAGTCAACAGCTTTCTCCTGAGTAATTACACTGATTGCCTTCAGATACCCACACCTCTTTTTCATCTGACCATTCCTCAGACAGCTCTCCCCATGACTCAGCACTGGGTCTGGTTGTTCTCGGTAAAGGCTTTTTTGCTTTTTAAAAAATTATTTATTTTTTACTTTCATTCACTATGCTTTTTAAATAATTTAATATGTAATGCAAATCTCAAAATAAAAAAAAACCCTATTGGTTTTAATTTAATATAATTTAATAAAATGTCATTTAATAAAATTTAACTTCAAGGCTCAAAAAAACTCATGTAACTTTGATGATTAATGAAATATTTTCAATTAATAAAGTTTTCTACAAGATGTTGCTTTTCTATGTGGATTTCAGATTACTTTGTTATGTATTATTTTATTGTATGTATTCAAGGTGCATCACATGATGTTTTGATAGATCAATGCATGTTATAATAAATATGATAGTCAAGCACATTAACATACCCGTCCTTTTTCAAAGTTATCCATATTGTGTGTATGTGTTCGGTGAGGGTTGGTTAGAGCACCAAGAACTATCTTTTAGCAAATTTCCTGCATGCAGTACAGTATTATTATTGACTATAGTCTTTATACTCTACATTAGATCCTTGCCCTTACTCATTCTTGCCACCATACCAACCTAGAATAGAAACCAATTCTAATCTCAGAACAGAGGCAAGGTTGATCCTGGTCAAATTCATTTTAGAATGACACCATTTCTGCTCTTGGAAATAAATTCTGAAAGTCTTTTCAATACGATGAGCATTCAGGGTCCAGCTGGGGCATGGTGGTTGGGGCAGCTGGATTCCACAAGGCTGGCTGTGTGGTTGCAGTCCCTATCCACAGGCTTGGGAAACAATGTGAGCATGTCCCCAAAATCCAAAAAGGAGATAAGAAGGAGAAGAGATGGCAGCTGTAAAACCATCATCCATGGGGAGTGATTTCTCACTTTCCCTCTATGTCTCTCTCCAGTGAGTTCAATGCACCCCCTGGCAAACTGAAAGGAAAAAAAAAATAGGAATTCAGAATATTTTAATTTTAATTCTTGCTAACATTTCAAAACAATAATTTCTCTTAGATCTTATGCTTTTTCCTGGTACTCTAGCTATCTTATCACATTTAAATCAAATAACATCTAGATCAAGTACAGTACTGAGAAGGTTCACTGAAGGGAAATCCCTGCAGCCATGTTTGGCTAGCCACATTCTGCTTTCCTAATCTGTAGGTTTTGTCAAAATGGTTCTCTCACATTCAGAACTGTCACACAACTTGAGCATTTGGAAGGACTTACCTAGGAGAATGACAACACAGAGAAGAATAGCGATTAAGGCCCCTGTACTCAAACCAGCCGAGGACAGGAATGCTTCCGCATGGCAGGTCCGCACGCGCCCATCTCTCTCGCATGCACAAACCCTGATGGTGAGGGTGCTGCTGCTGCTGAGAGAGGGGATTCCACCGTCAGAGATCATAATGGGCAGATAATACACATCCTGAACAGTTCGACTAAATCTCCTCCGCCTTGTCAGAATGCTGGCTGTGTTATCTATGACAGACATAAGCAAAACAAAATAGACTTAGTCAGCCGCCGTTAAAGAGTCGCATATCCTTTCATGGGTAAAATGGGTATGTCTGTTTCTTTTCTTTTTCGGTTTATGGAATAGACAAAGGAATACACAGGGACAGTTATTAAAGAGAAGCTAATATTAATCATTAAATAGAAGCTAATATTAGTTGTCAAACTGAGAAATCTATTTCAGAAATCCACAGAATGAAACTAGAGGGACAGAAAATAGTGACAAGACAGAGAAAGGAGGAAGCAATGTAACATTTCAGATGTGCACATACTAACTGAAGACTGAAAAGGACTCAGGTGTGAAGCCAGTAGGTCCCACACTTTGAGGTGAGCCAGGTTTGACTTTCTTCAAGCCTGTTGACTCGGAGTGCGTTTTGTATTTTCAAATACCTATTCAGGTGAAGCTAAGGCATGAAGTTTAAGAACCACTCGATTAGATAATATCTCAATGGAGACAAAAGGTCATTGAGAAACTTTTTAAGAATTAGCTGTGGTCTGATGCACTCTTATTAGAATGTTGCGGAAGCTAATGTTGAATAAAATAGCTCATTCACTATTTTAAATATGCTTTTTAAATGTAATGTACTAAAGTAAATGCCTACATGATATATTTTGTTCAATCCATATAATCTTGCTAGGTAGAAAGAGTTAAATTCTATTCTTTGTAAGAGAAAATATTTGAATATATTTTTCTTTCATTTTAATTTCATAATTTCTTATTTACATTCAATTGCTATGCATCTTTATGTTGTACAAGGTGGATTTTCAAAGCTTGCATGCAGCGTGTGATAAACAAATCAAGGATATTACCATATATATTATTTTTAGCAAAGAACATCACATTATGATGTGTACCGTCAATTTTGCTGGGAAAACATTTTTTATTATACAACATAACTTAAAAACAAATAACCCAAATTAGAAGTTGCCCCCAAACCTAAAGCTAATGTATGATCAGGAAGCGCCCTCAATACATTCTAGAACCCAGCTCAAAAGCACAGGCCACACTGCCTCTTCTCCACCTTTTCGCTGTCAGTTGTCGTTACTGTCCTCAAATGCCCACTGCATACCTTTCCCCTAGCATCACCATTCCTCATTCTACAATGTCTGTTAGCTAGTATGTTCCGTACTGCATGCTCACATGTGCTGCTCAGATCCCCTTCATGGAAAGACTAGTTGCCTTAGCCATAGCTTGCTGCCAGGCCCAAGGTCACACCCTTCTGGAGCAGTGTCTAATCAATGACTCACTACAGCTGGGTTACAGATGTCAGGTTATCTCCCCAGCCCCCCCCCCACACCCCCAGTTCCAACAGTACTGAAGGATAGGTTTAGCTCCAGAGTTTTTCTATGGGGTCACCATTAAGAGGCATTAAAGCTGCATGGCAGCCTGATTTCTCAGGATTCTTTCCAATCCTTCTTCCTCCTACTGTGGTATTCTGATGTGGATGCCAAGGGCACATCCTGCTAGACTAACTCAGAGTTTTCAGCCAAAGAATTCAACCTGCCGCTACTCCTAGGAGTTACTTACTTCATACTAAAAAGTGAGTGGATCACTAAACACTTACCTTTAGGAATTCTTTCACTCATAACAATTCATTATATTATCAGAATATCAATTGTTATATATAGTATGTTTCTGATATAATGTAATATTCTACAATTGTCTTTTTTGATATTACATTGCTAAGCATTGCAACAGAAAAATATTTTTCAAGTATTCCATGTAATAAAGATAATAAAACAAGAAAAGTGTGTGCACACACATATATATGACTGCGTTTTTGAAGATATATTATAGAACAGAAATAAGTAATACAATGAGAAATTGAAAAAAAACATTTTCTTAGCTGGTGAACGAAGAATACTTTGTTTTAGGTTTTTGCAACAGGGTATGTTCACTCACCAGAAAGAGACAGAGACAGAGAGGTAAAGTGAGAAATCACCCCCGAGGGAGGATGGCCATGCCACAGTGCCTTTGCTCCATTCTCCTCTCAGGATTTTGGGCATTTATGTGCACATGCCTGGTGTGATTTCCAAGCCACTAGGTCTGGGACTCTAACCACAATTTGTCAAGTAGCAGTCCAGTGCTTTAACCACTATATCACTTGCTGGCCCCCAAAATGGAATTTAAAATATGGATAACATGATGCTTAATGTGCTGGACTCACACATGGCTGACCTTAGTCTGAGTCCTGGACCTGGTGTCTTGCTTTCTCATTTTCTCTCTCTTTCTCTCTGTCTCTCTCTCTCTCTGACGAACATATGTGTCCAATTGAAAATTTAAATAAATAAATAAAATATATAAATATTTTTAAAATTAGATCAACACTGGGGGCAAAAAATCACACCAGGCATGCACATGTGTATGTGCCCCAAATTCTAATGGCACGGTATCCTCCCTAGGGCATGATTTCTCCTCTTACCTATTTCTGACTATGTTGCTCTTCCACTGTCTTTCTGGCAAGAATATGTGCCCTATGGTGGAAGTGAGGGATCAACAGTATATTCTGAAGCAGATTACAGAATAGAAACTGAAGAAATAAGAGAAATTACTTCATATGTATTTTATAATAACATAAATCATAGTAACTCTCCCAGAAACCAGTCCTCTGAGGAATCATATTTATCATTCGAAGGATATTACATCAAGCTTAATGTAACTTTCTATTTTTAACAATGCCCTATCCAAAGGAAATGTATAAACTAAATACTCATAGGCACAATCTCATAGCTAGTCCTCTAAAGAAGCCTTCAACTGGGCACTGCATCTCAGGAAATGTGAATAATGATGTGTGGAAAGATGTGATAACATGTGATGGTAGAGAGTGATTCCATTTTATGGCTCTGGCCCCAT